TCCTTGCAGCACACCATGGTCTTGCAGGACATCACATCCTTGCAGCACACCACATCCTTGTAGCACACCATGGTCTTGCAGCACACCACATCCTTGCAGCACACCACATCCTTGCAGCACACCATGGTCTTGCAGGACATCACATCCTTGCAGCACACCACATCCTTGTAGCACACCATGGTCTTGCAGCACACCATGGTCTTGCAGGACATCACATCCTTGCAGCACACCATGGTCTTGCAGGACATCACATCCTTGCAGCACACCATGGTCTTGCAGGACATCACATCCTTGCAGGACATCACCACATCCTTGCAGCACACCATGGTCTTTCAGGACATCACATCCTTGCAGCACACCACATCTTTGCAGCTCACCACTCAGCCTCCCTCTCCCATCCAGCATCCTGCAGCGACCAGCAGTGTGGATTTCACCAGGAGGTATGAAGAAAGCCCTTAACATTGTGGAATAATCCAGGCACAAACATGTTTCTTCGCAGCTGCTGGCAGCTTTGGTTTACACTCCTTCAGAAGCAGCTTTACATCTGTGACACTTCCCCAAGGTCAGGGAAATGGGGATGAGGTCACATACATGAACCACTTGGGAAGCAGCGCTGCCCACCCCCGGCTCCAGCGACCCCAGTGGCACAAATGATACAGGGTGGGAAGGATTGCCTGAAACCCAAATGTCACCTGTTGATCTAAGACACCTCGTGCCACTGCGCACCACGAGTTTATCTTCTTTCAAAACATCTGCATCATAATTTCATCCCACTGTACACCAGTCTGCTTCAGAAAGCAGCTTCTCATTCACATGCTTCAAGCTTTCAAATGTCTTTTTTCCCGGCTGAAAATTCCCAGTCTGTTCAATCTTTTCCGTAGAAACTAAGGGAAAGGCTGTTCTGTTCTAACAGAATTACCTCAGAAAAAGGAAAAGTCAAAGACAGAATCCTGTAAGTTTGAAGCCTATCAACACTGTGACCATTTTAGTGATCACCTGAATGCACAGTGACAGGACCCAGTCAAAATCACAGAACATATAATTACATCACATGTTCTGTCTGAAATCAGGTTGCCTGTGTGTGGGTGTCCCCAAATACTGTACGGCTGGTTGTGGGGTGGGGAGGTGCTTAATGGACCATCCTCATTTCTTTACTCCATTTTGCCTCACCAGGCAGGTGATTTCCTGAGGAGAAAAGAGGCAGAAGCACAAACTGCTCGCTGAGGAGAGGAGGACAGCACCCCTCTGCCTGCACCCACACATCTTCCCCAGGCTGAAGCACTCATGCCCTGAGCAAACCCTTCCTGCGAAGGCTGGAAAGCGGCTGGTCCCCCTCCTGATGCCAAACCCTCAGGCTGGATGGAGGCAGGAGAGCTGCCGTGGTTTAGATGCCCAGGACAGGCTGCCACCAGTACTGCCACCAGTACATGGCCCTGTTTGCACAGCAGGTTTCCCAAGGGACTGTGATCCTGGAGGAAGAAAAGGGTTGGGATCACCATTGGGACAGACCAAACCACCCAGAGCTGCTCCTGTTCCTGCAGACAGGCATTGCCACCAGCTGCAAACAGGTCATTGCGTGTCCTGCTTGGTCCCTGGGATGAGCCAGGCTCAAGACCACCACAGGTTCTGCTCAGGCTACTCAGGACCAGTCACTGCACTAATGGAGACCACTGATGACTCATTTGCAGCTATTGGGGCTTGGATCAACCCCATGGCTGTTGGAGGCACAGCTCCTTGGACACCTTTCCCATAGCCTAGCAGAAAATACCATCCTTATCTCCCTTTTTCCTAAGCCACAGGACACTTAAATTGCCAAATTTTGGGATGGCCCAGTGAGAACATCCAGAAAAACACTGAGGTATTTTTTGGCAGCTGGGACCATTCCTCCCCAAGCGGGGAATGGAGCAGCCAGGAGAGACAGTGAGGAGGAAGAAGAGCCGTGGAGCTGGAGGGAGGCTCAGGCTTCTGCCCCCCCCTCCCCAGGATTTGCCCCATGCCTTCCCCCTGCCCAGGCAGATGCCACAGGGTGCTGTACCCACAAACCCTGCCTCAGCTCTCCAACATCGAGTGCCACCAGGAGACCCAGCAGCTGCGTCAGGCTCCTCACCACATCAGCCAGAAATCGTAGGAGAGAAACAAACGACTCGACAGCAGCTGTGTTAAAAGTGTTGATATATTTATTGCATTCTTAACAAAAATACTTTTCAAGAGAGGATTTTTTTTTCAGCAGGTACAAGACATGGAGATACTGGGGTTGAGCACAGCAGTTTGCTTTGACACTTACTTCAACAGCCAGTTAACATGATGGGTGCAGGAGGAAGCATCCTTTGCGAGCCAGTACAGAAAAGCCACTCCACCGAGGGGTCTACACAGGGCAGAAGATACATCCCCAGATCTGGGCCAATCTGTAATAGTCCACAGAGGAAACTGGGGGAAACATCAGGTAGTTTACAATACAAGGTCCTTTCTCCTGCCCAGAGCCCAGCCTTTGGGGGTTTGTATCAAAGGCTGCACATCCTGCACCAGGATTCTCTCTCTAAATGCATATTTGGGGGCAAACTGATGACAGCAACGATGCCAACTCCCTCCAGCACCTGTGGGAGTCTCCTCCTCTGCAGACCTGAGGGTTCCCGGAAAGGATCCCCCTGGACAACATCAGAGGAGCTAATCCTATCAGTATATCCATGGGAGAACATCAGCAGGGACTAAATATTATAAAAATATAAAATAGTACTTCTAATATACAGCAGCAGCACTCTATTGCCTCAGAAAGGCCTTTAAAACATATCACCATTTTTTTCAGTTCTCTCTGATTCATAAATTAGATCCATTTCTCCCAGATTTCCCAATCTTCCCTTCAACTGAAGAGAGACTGTGACTTTTTGCAGAACACAAATATTAAAACAGAAGCAAAACGACATCCTCGGAGGAAGGTGAGTGAGTACTGCCCTGCTCTGGCACCAGCAGTAGGAGGAATGTCCTCTGCATGAAACCAGCATGAGTCATTCCTCAGAAAGGAGGTTCTTCTCCTTGCCAGATCTCTACTTTCATGAGCAAGGGCCTTTTACTGCACCACTAAAAATAAATTAGAATTACAGAACAATTAAAAGGTAAAAAAAGGAAAAGCACATCAGGAGTGCCTGACACAGCAGACATACAGAGAACTTCCCAGAGGAGAACCTAGTGCACTACACTTTCAAAGGACAGGCCAGACAGATGGAAGAAGATCCTTCAAGATGACATAGAACAAGCCATCCTTCTGCTGTCCTGCACTGCCTGTCTTCAATTCCCACTGCAGTTTGTACAACTTTTTGTCCAAGTCTGCAGCCCAGACACGGCACAACGATGCACATTCATATTAACTAGAATAGTTTCCTGTAACCCACCTCCACGTACAACAGGACAGCCTGGAGAACAACTGTGCACAGGTAACACCCTGGCCCTTTTCCCTACTGAAAATATATCATGATAATGGTCCAGGTATTTCCAGAGATGGGGACAGCAGATGTGTAAATCAAGAAGACAGACATGTCATAAAAAAGCTGCCACAGACGTTATCAGCACCTGAGGTGACGTTACTAAAGCCCACTGGGTTGTACATGGGAGCCTCACACGGCGCTAAAGCAATTCAAATGCTGTAACAAGGCTCCTTCTTTTCTGTACGAGGAAACCAAGTGGTACAACCCCAACACATCTAACATTTTAACCTATACAGCCATGAGTTTAGATTGTAAACTCTTCATGATAGGAGAACACAGTACAGACCCCACCCGAAGTAACAGGGAGCGAGTGCAAAGTAACTGTACTGAAGTTAATCATAGAATCCCAGACTGGTTTGGGTTGGAAGGGACCTTAAAGCTCATCCAGTTCCAACCCCCCTGCCAGCAGCAGGGACACCTTCCACTAGACCAGGTTGCTCAAAGCCTCATCCAACCTGGCCTTCAACACTTCCAGGGAGGAGCAGCCACAGCTTCTCTGGGCAACCTGTTCCAGTGTCTCACCACCCTCACAGTGAAGAACTTCTTCCTGTTGACAGAATTACAGTGATACAAAACCAAACTGTTCCTGAGGTCAGAAGCAGGGCCTATACCTGTCCTTGTCTCTGTGCAGTCACATTTTGAAGTGGGGCAGGGGGTTCAAAACTGAAGATTATAACATGCAAGAAAATAATACGATACAATTATCTTTAAATGTTGCCATATTATGAAATAATTGTATTTGAGCTGCAATTGTGAAGGGCAGGAAGCGGTTTCAGACTGGAGCAAAGACTAAATTCTTTGCTACAAGTGCCTGTTGGTACTGCAGGATCCAGGCACACTCCCACAGCAGCTCTTCTCAGCAATCTAAACTTTAACTGCACAGCACTCAGACCTGTCCTCCTGTCCCCAGCACTGTCCCTTCTTCCCTTCCCTGCACAAGCTCCGCTTTTACACCTCTGACCCCAAACCTGTGCCTCAGTCACACTAAGCCCTGGGTTGCTCATTATTGCTGAATGCAAGAGAAACATAATGAGCAGTGAGAGTCTTTAGAGCCACCAGGACGTATCTCTGCACACTGCATACACTAATTTGCAGGAAGATGATGGGAAGGCAGCAGTAAGGTAAATTTGTGGGTTGATTGCAAAGGGAGCTCTGCAGTACATCATCTTGGTAAATAACGTTTCACAGGCACGAGAAGAGATGAAGAGAACGATTCCTATTGCATCTCTTAGCTTATAGAGCGTTCAGAGCATGGGGAAGCCAGGGAGAACTCCTAACCTCTATGAACAGGAAGATGTCCTACATCCCAAGCTCTGTAAGATTTGAGACTCCTCTTCATTGCAGAGGACCAGCCCTACTATTCAGCTGCCCTAAGTCATGCTGCTCTGCTAGCTAGCAGGGGGATGGACGGGCTGGGGAGGCTGTTGCCCTTCCCTACGGAGTACGGATACACATGGAGAGGCCATGTGAGCATGCAGCAGCTCAGGAAGGGGCACCCTTCTTTATTTTCTATGAAGCAGACTAAAAATGGTGTTTTCTCTTTCGTGACCTGGTAGTCCGTGCAGGAGGAGGAGTCTGTTTTGGGGGGTTTTGGTTAGACTCTGCACTGGGTTCAGGGGGCTGTTTTGAGCAAGCTGCTTGCAGAAGAGAGCCCTGCATGACACTAGGATCCTGTATCCTATGGAAAGCCTGGACCCCATCACGGATTTCCGAGAGGGTCTGGCACATCTGGCCGACCTGGTTGGTGAGGTCAGCCAACCTCTGCCCGATGACATGCATGCTGTCTGCCATGTCTCTGTGAATAGCCACCAGCTCCTGGCAGAACTGCCTGAACAGGTCTGTTTGCTGCGTGTGGGAATGGAGAAGCTGGCGATCGAAGCTGGAGAAGGGTGGGCTCCTGGCGCGGGGGTGCGGGGGTCGGCAGGACGAGGCGGCACGTGGGGACGGACGGTGCAGTTCCTGCCTTTGGCTGGCAGCTTCCGAGCGCTCCGATGAGGAAGAAGAGTGGAGGAAGGAGGGCTCGGAGAGCTGGTTGACTCCTGCAGCAGTCCTCTGCAGCGATGAGAAGCGGTGTTCCCGAGAAGTGCCTGGCATCTCTTCTTCTTCTTCTTCTTCATCAGCTTAAACAGAAGAGGAAGCGTGAATTATTAATGTGAAATGCCTCACAACTCTGACTTCTCTTTCACGGTATCTCAAAGCAGGTGGAAAAAAAGGGGTTCCCCCTCTCCAAGTCTGCCAGTTGAGACAAGCCTGTAGCTCCTGATGCATAACCCAACATGCACGTGCTGCAACGTTAGCATCTGGGTGACAAGCTTAGCCAGAAGAGGCCTGAGGAGCAGGCAAACCCAGTCGACCAAGGAGAAATCCAAGCTGCCATAGTATCCTGTACACAGCATTGTTCATTACTAGAATATAAATCCATTTCTGACAGTAGCAATGACTCTCCAAAAAAATATAAGTAGCTAGAACACTCCAACATTTTGGAGGAACAAAGGCTTCTGGCCTTTGGTTGAGTCTCAAAACACCCTGACACATTAGGTTCCTCAAGCCAAAACCCTGCTCCCACGTCATTTCTCCCACCCTCTGCGCTGAGAAAAGCATAGACGTAGTATTTGCTGCTCACTGCCAAGTCACTGTGTGGCTTGGCATCAGTAAGATAACCAGGCAGTCAGGCATAGCAGCAACAGGACCCCACGTTAATCGGGCAAGTATCCTCCAAGCAAAACCAAAACCAAAGCAAAACACCACAGGGAAAGTTCTTAATGGTCTGATGAGTATCTAGTGATGCGCCAGTTAACAGGTAGAGGCACACCAAGAGTAAGAAGAGATGATACTTCACTTGCTGTGACTGCCCACTATCTCCTCACACAAGCTGTATTCATTTCCCCCCCCAAACAGCACAACGGGCTTCCCAGATACATCCAAAGAATGACCAAGTCCCACTTTGCCAGTTCTTGAAGATTTTTTATCCTTGCTTTCCCACTAACAACGTTACTTCAGAGATGAGAGAAGACCTACTGCAGTAGGACAGTGCCACCCATCAGTGTTAGTTGGCTCACTTCCCAAGAAGTTCTCTCCTCTTTCTCTCCTTTGTATCCCTAACAAGCTCCCAGACCAAGAAGCGGCACCTCGGCAGAAGAAAACCCGTATGTACGCAACTGGGGAAAGAACCTGCAAAAAGCAGCTTGTGGTTCAGCACCAGAAGGTGGCTGAGAATTGTGGTGTCAGAAGATTAACTTGGAAAGCAGGGTCAACAGTTTCTTAACAAAGAGTGAAGAAGGGAGTCGTTATCATCTGCCTTTTTCACAGAGCTTGTGCCGAGCCTTCAGACCACTAGTGAGAAATCATTAGTGGCCTGGCCTCAGAGCATAAACACCAGTGGTCACTGAGCCCCCTCAACAGCCCTCTCAGAAGATGGTTACCATGCAGTGATCCATTAGTGACTGGCACACGATTCTCAGCTTGACAGCATCGCTGGTTTATTGGGGTGCATGCAAGATGAAGAATTCCTAATCCTTTACAAACGCTTTTTCACAGACTGGAGGTAGTTGCACTTCAACTACAGATGTTCCCTCACTTGCCGGTTTAGTTCAGATTTACGACCCACGAAGAAAGTGGAAGCTGAAAAATGTCTACCCTTAGAAGACAGTATGGAAAAGGATTAGACAAGCAGATTAAAGAAGATGATCTTAACTTGAAAACAGCTTTCCCTCAATCCATCTGAACACCCCCTGATCACCAGAGCAGGCTGTCTTGAAACCAAACACGGCAGTAGGACCTGGCTTGACAGGCAACCCAGCATCTCCCAAAACACACAACGCTCTTCTGGTGTCAAACTGAGATATGCAAGCATAAGACAAAGAGGTGGTAAGGCAATGATACTTACAGCTTGTTGATGGGCTGTCAACCACGTCCAGATCCGCTCTCCGGAAGCCGTGCATCTGGCGTGACGAATGCAGCGTCGACTCGATGGCTCTCTCGTGGGCGGTCAGGACGATGGCCGAGGGCCGCCCCGCGCTGCCGGGGCTGGAGAGGGACCTCTGCATGAATGCCAGTTTGTCCTTGGTCCTTCTCTTCATGTCGTCCCATCTGTGTTTAATGTCTTTTACAGACCTGGGGACCTGGCTGATGGATGTGATCTGCCTGGCTATACCTTCCCAGATCTTGTCCCTGTCAGCATGGGATAGACGCATTGTCTCCCTCCCAAACAGCATGGCTTCATTTCGGGTCACCTCAGTGACCAGAATGTCCAGTTCTTCTTTGGAAAACTTGGGCTTCCTCTTTCGTTCAGCCATGTTCCTTGGGTTGAACATCCCACAAAGCACAATTGGGTAAAAGGAAATCAGGGCAAAGCATCCCCCTGCATCCAAGCACTTGGCACTAGGGCAGAGGAGTTGGGTGGGATCCAGCTCCCCCCACCCACAACAACCTCTCAGTTCTCCTCAATCGCACCAGGAAAAGGCAGCCGTTTTGGTTTTAAAGAAGCAATTTTTTTTTTCAAGCTTAAGAAAAAACAAAACAAAACAAAAACCCAAAACACCAAGCGACACTAGTGTGAAGGAGCCTTCTCAGCTTTAAAAAAAATGCAATTTTACACTTCATGTGATGCCCTCACTTAAGTAGGAGAATCCCGGCACAGCCTCACATCAACTCATCGCAGAGTTTGCGCACAGGAAAGAAAAAAGTGTGAGAACTCACCATCACCTTGATGAATTCATAGAATCATAGAATGGTTTGTGTTGGAAGGGACCTTAAAGCTCATCCAGTTCCAACCCCCCTGCCAGCAGCAGGGACACCTTCCACTAGACCAGGTTGCTCAAAGCCTCATCCAGCCTGGCCTTCAACACTTCCAGGGAGGAGCAGCCACAGCTTCTCTGGCCAACCTGGGACACTGTCTCACTGCCCTCACAGTGAAGAACTTCTTCCTAATATCTCATCTAAACCTCCCCTCTTTCAGTTTAAACCCATTTCCCCTTGTTTTGTCATTAGTTGCCCTTATGAAAAGTCCCTCCCCAGCTTTCTTGTAGCCCCTTCGGGTACTGGGAGGCCACTATAAGATCTCCCTGGAGCCTTCTCTTCTCCAGGCTGAACAGCCCCAACTCTCTCAGCCTGTCTTCATAGGAGAGGTGCTCCAGCCCTGGGATCATCCTTGTGGCCCTTCTCTGGACTTGTTCTAACTGGTCTTATGTTGGGGGCTCCAGAACTGGACGCAGAATTAGCTGCTGAGGTGACACTGTTCCAAAAAGGGTTCTTGAGGAAATTTAGAGGCCTGAAACATACCTTATTGTTCTGCCTGGCACAACGTGGAACGGAAACTTTTACACCATTCTGCTGTTCAAACTCACAGGATGTCACACAGAGGCTACACCACTGGGATTTTTTTTTTCAGGGGAGGGAGATTTCAACTAGACTCACAGGGCAATTTCTGCAACTCACTTTTCCTAAGGAATCATATAATCATAGAATCAAGGAAAAGTCTTTTCTTCAGCACTGGGGGGGTACTGCACACCCAGCATTCGACTCAAGCTCTTGTTTCACCCAGAAATCGTTGCCATTTCCCATTGTTCTCAAAAGGAATGAGGCCACCCACTTGTTTTTTCCTGCCCAGGCTTTGCTGTCACTGCCACTGACAGGAGCCTGCACCCAATTTCTGGTCCTTCAAACCAACAACTTGTAGCCTCAGGTCATTGAGAAGAAGAGGCAGCCACCCTGAGAACCAGCACTTTTGTCCGAAGGGGAAGGGTGTTAATTTTTCCAACCACAGTCAAAGGAAACTTTAAAAATAAACAAAACATTAATCCTAACTATGGCTTTTTATTGGGGAGGGGGGGAAAGAGAAGGCAGCAGATCTATTCAACAGGGAAGGAGAAAACAGACTGTGTGAACATGTAATTTAGCACATAAATAAGATGGGATTGTGGACAGGGGAATAATTCACAGCCTGGGCAATGGACACCTGTGTAGAACAGCATGGAAGAGATCAGAGGCCACAGAGGAGCAGAACTGCTGGGAAAACATTGTGTCTGCCTTGGTTGGAATTAGAGCAGAGCAAAGTAAATTGGCAAAATGGTTATTCTAGTGCTAGACATTACAAAAGCCTGCTGGTACACTTCTTCAAATCATTAAAAGCAGGGATGTCAGGAACTTTTTTGAAAAAGGTCAACCTTCCTGGTGCTCACATCCTTAATTTTTTAGTTCTTAATTTTTTAAAAGGAAGTTCTCAGAAATCTACATCAGCATGGAATGGATGATATGGTGGAGTACTCCACCACTATGGTGGAGAACACATCACTCATCTGAGGCAGAAGACTTCAGCGTTGATATAAATTGTCCCAAAAAGCTGTCACTACAAGTTTAGAAAATTAATGTTTAAAAAAAGATATATTAAGATGTAACATACAAGAAAAAAAGACATCTTAATGGTTAGGAAACCTAACAACCTAACTCTGAAGTGACACTATGGGAGGGAAAATCTATTGGCTTCCCTGTGTGTTAGTTTTCCTTCTGCTTATGGTCCCAAATTAAATGAAACCAAAGATGCTATTACTGGTAGTAGTAATAATTTAGTAATAATAATAGCAATACTACTAGAAATATAATCTTTGGTTTCATTTAATTTGGGATCTATTGCTAGTATCTTTGCAATGTCAGGGGAACAAACTCTGGCTGGGATAGCTCAGACCCTCTTCTTTCAAAAAAAAAAAAGACATTTAATCCTAAAATCTTGGCTGAATGCCCTATCTCTCACAGGCAGACTTCAGCCACTCCAAAATACTTTCTGAAAAGTTGGTATAAGCAAAGGCCTCAGCATTTTTCCCCACTTGCCCCACATTTGTGATGGCCCTGTTGTCACCTTCTCAGAGATGGGCGCCTTCCAGCGCTGCTGTGACCCAGCAGAAGAGAGATGGTTTGGGATGCACTTGTGGGAAAGGTGTTTGTGGGCTGCAGACTGAGAAAAAGCTACTGAAAGGCAAGAGTGCCTCTTGTCAGATGTTCTTCTAGTTTCTCCTTAGTGCTGTTACGCTGCTGTTTAAGGAATCTCACTGTGTCTGAAGTGGTTAGCCACAGCTAAAGCTGGGAAACCAGTAGGAAATGCTCCTCAGATCCAGGCCACGTACAGGGAGAGCTGGGAGCCAAGTGCACAGGTGCATTTCGCTGGGAGAAATGTAAATGCATCCTTGAGATACTGTTGTGGTGGAGCTTCACTGATGGAGGGACAGAAGGAGTGTTTAGGGAAGATGGTAATGAAATGATGGAGAGCCAGCAAAGCACTTGCTACCTCAAGGGGAAAAAAAAAAACCCCAAACAAAGACAAACTTAAAGGAAAAAAGGGTTCTCCCAGCTGAACACTGGAAGGAGGGACAAGGCTACGTGGAATGTTCATGGTTTGATTTTTATCACATTCAGCCAAACTGGGCTTCATGTATTCTGTCTGCAGGTACCCAGGACTGCACAGTCCCATCAGTGCCTCCACGTGGTGGAAACAAACCTCTGCTGACAGGCTGCTCTGGTGAAGAGAGAAACAGGATTTTGTCAAGTGGTCCTGGGTAGGGTGAGCTTGGGGAACAGAAAGTCTCTCTGGAGCTGCTCAGAGCTGCTGGTGGGGTCACAAAACCTGCACCCCCTCTTCTCCGCTGAACCCATGGCTGCTGTCACTAGCCAAGCTGCACCCATGGGGAGTTAAGAGCCCTCTTTGCTCTTCCCAGACAGGTTATCCCATCAAGTGCACTTAGGACAACCTGTGGTAGACCCAGATATGCACATTTCAGGGTTTCCACTCATTAGCTCCAGCATGACTCGATTCAAACCTATTTAAGAGAACTTAAGTATTCCAATAGCACACTCACCACGCAAAGAGTAATGAGTTCTGGCCAGTTTTAATCACGAATTCAATTAATGTTAGGCTCCCAGCAGGCACATTAACCTCCTCCTTATAAAAATGCAGACAGTATTACTGTCAGAGAGATCTTTTTTTCCCCTCATGCATTTCCTCCAGCATGCAGGATGTCCCTTGGAGCAGTCACTGATATTTGGAAGTACCTCGTTGGGGATGCTGTGTATCAAGCTCCAGAGGAGCTCACAGGCTGTGAATTCACACCTCAGCCCAGATCAATCTGAAAGTGCAAGACAGTAAACCTAATTCTGTAAAAACACACGTGTAAAGTACATGACCAGTAAGCACTTCATGACCACTGCACAAAGACATCAACCACATCCACTTTGCTTGGCCTCTAAGAAATAAGCAGGTAACTCTTCCCAGGGCTCTGAAGCAGTTTTTTCACAGGAATCACAGTCCTGCAGTGCTTTAGGATCCCTTTGCTCTGCATAAATTTCAGTCTGTAACAGATAAGAGCATTTCCTCCACTTGCTGCAAGGTAACAGAGACCACTTTATGAAGTTCAACAAAATGACTTTTACTCCCTCTGAACACACAGGCAGATGCAGTAACACTGACTTTTTAATTTATTTTTTTTCTTTTTAAAAGGTCCTGTAAAGTCAAAACAGCAGCTCAGGACTTAAGAGAGCTACTGATCTAAGTTCGTCCTCCTTTGAGCAGGCTGTTGGAGCACCTGACCAGAGCTCCCTTCTGAGCTCTATCATTGTATGAAGATTGAATCACAGACATCTCCATCATAAGGAGATACAAAGGGACTTACAGAACAATCTTGCTCCCCGTGATCTCTTTATTTCTATGTCTGGAGAGGAAAGGAGGCAGAGAGGAAGCCAAGGGAGAAAGAAGTGAGGAAGTCTTGCACCACCTTTTTCAGATGGGCTGAGGGAAAGGATGAATTTGAACCGTGCCAAAAGCCTGAGAACTCAGGTACTCAGGTGTAAGAAGGGATATAGGCTATAAATGCCCCAACTAGCCTGGAAACCCCACACGTGAGGCATTTCATCAGCTCAGTCAGGCACCACCAGTTTGCTGGTACTTCCTATCCTGCATCTCAGCCTGGGCCAAGTGGTACATACACAGAGAGATGTTTTCCTGGACTTTCTGAATTACTTTCATTTTTTGGTCAGATCAGGTTTGTTTTGGTTTTTTTTTAGAGGTCCCCAACACCTGAATAACAGAATTTCCTCAGAAGTAACCAGGAACAATGGCTGGTTCTGCACAAGCCTTCAGAAGCCCCAAGAACTCCCATCAGCAGCACTTTATGGTTTGTGTCCAAGAAAGCAGCAATTCCACTTGAGGTAATCTGTGGTAATCAAGTCACCCCAAGTTCCCAGAAAAATAAAAACAGAGGAAGAGGTTTGCACCCATCCCTGCAGGTCAAAGCCATGGAGTTCATAAAGCATGGGAAACAACAGTGCT